GGAGGAGATTATTTCATACCGCTCCTGACGAGCACTCTGATGGTACCTTTCCATCAGGTCTTGGTGCATCTCAAAAGGGTAGAAATCTTCATACGACTTTTGGAGCTCGGCTGTCATCGTGGCCATCATGATACATGCCACCTTAGTAGCATCTCTCTCATGAGTCCTGAATTCAGCGATCTCCTCAGGAGTAGCAGTAGACTCATCAAGTTCTTTTAACTCCTTATCGAGGACATATTCCTTGTCCTCGTAACGAGTAACCATCCTGATGTTCCTAATCCAATCCATGAAGTTGGAACCATCAAAGATGACCCTCCCACAAAGATTCATGAGAGAGAAAGAACCAGTTGGGTTAGAGCCTGAAGCATTAGTGTTGGAAGACATCTGAAAGAAGAAAGTAAGTTTAGATTAGATATTTAGGATCCTTAATAAGACACCCAAATGTAATATTAAGGCTAGGATCCAATCACAATATATTACACTTAGAAGAGGGATGCCGTAATCTAAGTAATAATATATTTGAAAGGTAGGTGAATGACGATTCACCAATTTCCACCATGAAAACGAAATGATTTATTAGGTTTAATTGGATTTGAAATTCCTAGATTCTTTTGAGATTCATTGAACTTTTCAATGGCATGTTTCAATCTCGATTGTGCCCTTCAAGTTTTGTGACTGGGATGCCGAGGATCACAAAACAAGGTGTGAATAACCATGCTAATTCACTTGGTACTCTTAATATTATCACCTAATCAATGTGCCGGTTAACCACACACGCTCCATTGATCTATGACAAACATTAAGTCACCCTTCGTGATCCTTACTAGTCCTAGTTAGTGTGCCGGTTAACCACACACGCTCCACCAACGACTTGGTAAGGTACAAAGTGTGAATTCCATGGACTAGCACCATGTTCACATTTTTCCTAAAATAACTAAGATTGGGAATTAAAAGAGTTTAGTTATTTTATAATATTCATTATACTTTTAATGAGGATTTAAAGTCATTGTTCTACCCGTTCGGCTAACGACCCTCCACCGATCAAGCAAGCGGTGGGTGAGAGTATACACCCATTAAGTCGCCATTTTATAGGCAACAACCTTATACCCACCTTATAGACCGGCTTCGTGAATGAGGCCTACTAACGGTAAAACGACTTATTCTTATACATATATATAATAATTAACCATTAATGTTATAAATAGTATAAGGGTTGAATTTTAACTATTAAAACTCTAAGGTTTGGAATTAAAGTTTATTAAAGTGTGTGAAACTTTACAAATTCCAAAACTTGAGGGCAAGTTTTGTAACTTTGCAAAACTCTTCATTTCATAACTTATGAATTAAAGGTTCATAAAAATGAAGACTCTTCATTTTCATGTAACTTATGTGTTTTAAGTGTGTGTTAAATGAAAGTGACCTTTGGTAATCCATAACTTGAGGACAAATTATGGACTCCATTAAAACACATAAATGATAAAGAATTAATCCTAAACAATTCAGCAAATAATTCCTATCATTTTCTAAATTCATAAGAACATGAACATGATCATCAAAAATTCAAGAATTATATGAACACATAAAATCATGGAATTTTGATATATGCTATTGCAAATGGATTAGAACAACCATTACACCAACTAAAATAAGTTTTATAACACCAAAACAGTTTAGGGTAATGTTTCTAGTCCATTTCCAGCAGCAAAAGTCGAGAATCTGCACTCTTTCGATCCTACTCGTCGAGTGCATGAACTTACTCGCCGAGTAGGTTGAAGTTTGCCTTGGACTCGTCGAGTCCCCCCAATGGACTCGGCGAGTCCACCATGCTGACAGCAACGATTTCGACTTTTTTCACTATTTTGCATCAAGTATCAAACAAGCAAGCCTAGGCTCTGATACCACTGTTGGGTTTTGAGCAATCTAACACTTCCTAAGTGTGCATGCAACCCTAATAAACCTTGGATCTATGTTTGTCTAAATACATGCAAAATAATAATTTTCCAAGGTTTATAACCTATCTAACATGGCATGGGGAACATTTCAACATAAAAGAGTTAGAAGAGATTACATACCTTTTGGTGAGTTTGGTTCTAAGGAGTTTGAGGGCCAAGCACCAATAGTGTGAATGCCTCAAATGGAATCACAAACACCACAAACTCTTGGAAAACTTTGAGAGAGTATACACCTTGTATAAAATCGGCCACACACATGCACACACACACTAGTTCACTAGTTTTCTCTTAGGCTCCATTTCATGCTCCATAAGCATGCTTATATAGTGTGCATGGTTAGGGTGAAACCCTAATAACCCATGTCTTTTCCTTTTCCAAGGATCCATGGGTTAAAAGCTCCATGGATCATCCATGGACTTCCACATAAGCCTAGCTCATTAACAAATGAGTATTAGCCCACACTATATAAAACAAATAGCCCATAATTTAATTAGTATTCCTTTTAATCTCTAATTAATTCATAATTAATTTAATACTAAAACTAATTAAATAACGTAACTTCATATTAATATATTATAACTCATAATATATTAATAAACATATGTATATAACTCTCATAAAATTATCCATAATAGTTTGGATGAGATGCAACCCAAATGGACCATGCCGGTCGGGTCAAGTATATACCAAATAAGTTATGGACTTAGACACCTTATCCAACAGAAATAAACCGGAGGGTAGTTCGAGCACCCAGATATGTCTGGCATGGTAGGTCAAGCACCCAGATATGCTTGAGAAGGGGTAGGTCGGGAACCCTTGTATGCCTGACAAGGGTGGGTTGAGCACCCATATATGCTCAACAGGGTAGGTTGGGCACCCAAATATGTCTGGTTGTATGTTTATTGTATTGTATGTGGTATGATGGGGAACTCACTAAGTTTTGTGCTTATGATTTTCTGTTTTGGTTCCAGGTACTTCTTCCTCGACGGGAAAGGAGCAGGCACAGTAGTAGTGCATCACACACACACGATTTTCCGCACCAGAGATCTATGGGATTTACACTCTTATATGATTTTATTTATGGCATGTTCTGACTATGGATACATTGGTTGATATATATATATATATATATATATATATATATATATATATATATATATATATATATATATATATATATATATATATATTATGACTTTGTGATTTTCAGACAAATGGTTTTATATATGTTTAATTTAAAATGAATTTTTGGCCCGTATTTTTGGGATGCTACACAAATAATATTAACTCATTGGTCCTAAGATTGGATAAATAGTCGGTAGTCCCCTTCTATTATAGAACGCCCTAAATTGACCAAAAGATGGAAAGCTTGATACCATGTAGCTAAAAGAAATACATGTGATCGCCTCAAAATGGCATGACTTTTTGTCACAACTTCTCTTAAACGACAAAAACACAATCAGACAGGAATCTTTGGGAAGCATGATCATTTCGACATATAGTTTTTCTGAAATCCAACAACCACGCCAACGTGATCATTCTAGAAACCTCTCCCATAGATTAATCAATATTATAACATGGAATTATTGATAAATCTAAGTTAATAATAACGAATATGATTGTAATTATAAGTTACACTAAAAGCAAAAGAGTGTAGTTTAACTTACATAGTTTTCCCAGACAAAGTCTAGAAATTGCACTGGAAGAAACTGGTTAGAAATACTACATAAAGCATTTGGTCTGATGTGGTTTCTTAGTATGCCCCTACATGGCCGCTTAATCAATAGGGGACGTGACAAATACTATTAACTCATTGGTCATAAGATTGGATAAATAGTCAGTGGTCCCCTTCTATTATAGAAAGCCATAAATTGACCAAAAGATGGAAAGCTTGATACCATGTAGCTAAAAGAAATACATGTGATCGCCTCAAAAGGGTGTGACCTTTTGTCATAACTTCTCTTACAACGACAACAACACAATCGGCCACGTTCCGCCTTTTTTGAATTGAAGACCATGTGTCCTGGGATGCAACTTGAAGTTTCCCAGATGAAATACGATTTTTAGGAGCAGATCAACAATATGAAGGCTAGTGTTGAAGTCATGAAGGCAGAATTTGGAGCATTAAAATAGAGCATATACCTCATTACGAGTTATGTGGTGGTGGGAGTTGTGGGTGTTCTTGTCAGTTACTTTTCTTCTTTATTTCTTTGTCCAAAACAAAAGTTTATTAAAGTTGAACGGTTCATCATGGATATTTCAACGCTCCACATAAGCCAATTGCTTGGGCCGACTGGTAAAGCAATAAATTCTTTGAGACAAATGGCTAGTAACTTATATAAGACTTTGTACAAACACCCAATAAGGTTGATTGGTTTGTTAGTCAATAAAGGGTATGTTGTACCCTCTATTACGAATCACATCAAACCTATCCTAAGGCCATCATATGGGAGGTAAATTTCGTAGAACTCGCTGCATTTTGGCTATGCAAAGTTTGAAACTAACATCTCCTTTATGGAATTTAAATTTTTAATTATAATCTCCCATCACAATGGAAGTCTCTAAGCGACTACGGATCTCAAACTTTTTGAATATGTGTATAAATGAAGCATTACGTCCCCAACTTAACAAGATTGGGATTTCAAAAACCTTTATAAAGCATATGAAATCATCTTGTACCAAGTCACAAAGTTCTTTAAGAAACTTATAGTTGAATATGCCAGGGTCAGGGCCTCGTCATTTATCACATCATCAAATGGCTTCTTTAACTTCATAGAGGGAATGGGCTCTTCTAGGAAGTCACGATCAGCCGATGAATGATTCTGAGCTTACTGCTAATCAGTTATGGTCTATTGAAGGAAGGCTTTTCAAAGTTGAAGGAATAAAAAACTCCATCTCTTCTTTATAGCATCTGAATTAGTGACCCACACCCATTAATTAATAGTCAAACAAAACAACTATTGAGTTTCCATAATTGAAAAGTATAATGAAATCACCATTATATCTTCAAAAAGGGTAAAGCACAAAAAGGAAAACTTTATTGAAGGCATGGTATTTACAATACAACCGAGCCATGCATTTAAAGATTAAAAAACAAAAGAGCGAACTACAAAACTTGTTAATTTACATTTCTAACCCATCACCCCTCCAAGAAATAATCAAAGAGCACTCAAAGTTAGAACACCCTATAACACAATGTGTTTGGTAAATATTTCAACTAGAAAATAATACACCTAAGTAAATACTACCATACCCATCCACCTTCTAAAGAAAATAAAACGCTATTTAAGTCACTTTCTTTGTTCATATTATTCCAATATTGGTACATCACTTTGATTTAAACTCTTGTTTAAGGTTGCAAGTCGTTGACCACCATTGACTAGAAATATCCTTTGCAATATTAAGGGCATCACATGTCGTTCCAAGAAGACCCCTTCGAGTGAACCCAACCGTGTATAACCCGTTCTCCCCTTTCCAACCGTTTGGAAAGGGCATTTTAGGCATTCCATCTTCAGTAAAAAAGTCACTTCCCTGTATCGAACAAGAGCAAAAACAATAAAACGTAAGATATAATGTTCTAATACAATAATTTAGAATATAAGATACAAGTCTAGACCTTTAAAAAAAAATTAGTTTATAAATTATTCACCATAAAGATATTTGAAAGATGTGGGCCATAGTCACTGACACAACTCATTATCAAAGGAGAACCTAATGAGATCATCATATGCACCATATATTTCAATTATGATTTTTTTTTCAAAAAAAAAAAAATTTATGGTGATCATTACTCCCAGTGAAGAAATTTCTAAAACCAGAACTAAAAAACTACAACGACTAGTAGGATATGGATCAAAAGTTGTACATTACTCTCGATTTAGAAACTTAATTTCTGTAAGTTCTTTAAAACATTTTAAGCAAAAGGACATTAAAATTGAAAAAATATAATCGTGAAAATACTTGCTGACGTTAACACATCATAAAATGACAACAAAAATGTTAATAGATTGAGAATCATCCAAACAAGTGCCATCAGTTTTTCACCTTTTTGGCTACTAAGAACCATTTTGTAGGCTTCTAGATGTGTAAGACTTGAAAGTGATGTGAGATGGAGAGTAAGATAAAATTCAATTAATAAATAAATATATTACAAGTATTATATGGAATGTACAAATTTTGAAACATGTTTCTTTTTATCACATACACTTACTTCATACCTACTTATTTCATACATTATTTGATAAAATAGCTAAATGGATGCCATGCTATTTACCTTGAGCCAAAATGGCACATTGCTCTTATACCCCGTTGCCAACACAATCGAGTCAAATGCAATTTCTTGACCATCCATGAATTTGGCTCCATTTCTAGTTATTTCTCTCACTCCTTGTTCCACAACCTACAAACATTCCAATAAAACACACAAATAAGATCTATGAATTGTACATTTACAACTCATTATTGCATGTGTAGCTAGGTGAATCTTTCTATAGTTACCTTGATGTTACCGGATTTGATTAAAGATAAAGCTCCGGTGTCAAGCACTGGGGTTTTACCAGTGGCATTTTTGAGCTCAAGGGGGCCAATTTTAGGCCTCCTTAGGCCTAATTTATCGGTGTTTCCTAGTGTTAAATTGGCCATAAACAAGATTAATTTATCAACCATCCTAAGAGGTAGCCATTTGAGAAGTCCCATAGCAATTCCAAATGTTGGGAATCCAAACATCTCTCTAGGCAGAATATGAACCTGTAATTGCATTAAACCAACCATATGAATATCCCCAATAGTCAAAGTACTTCAAGAAAGACTTTATGGCATTAGAATTGTGAAAAGGATTGCCACTATTCATTAAATAGAGAGGGTTTTTAAGGATTTGGATATGACTAAAAGAAATTTCCATATCAAGAAAGGATTTTTTAGGAAAAAGATGAAATACCCAGATGGAAAAACATAAAGTTTAGTGATTATAAACAAGAAAAGAAAACGATTCAAGAGGTACCCACATGAAAATAATCATTAAACTATTAAATAGAGACGGTTTTTAAGGATTTTGATATGACTAAAAGAAATTTCCATATCAAGAAAGGATTTTTTAGGAAAAAGATGAAATATCCAGATGGAGAAACATAAAGTTTAGTGACTATAAACAAGAAAATAAAAAGATTCAAGAGGTACCACATGAAAATAATCATTAAACTCGCATAAAGACACAAGATATTGGGATTTTTTGAGTTTTCAAATAGTGATCTTTTTTAAATTAAAAGAATACCCATTTGATAAAGTGAAGAAAAAGGGAATGTAATTGACTTTGACATTTAGAATTAGACTATTAGAGCCATAATTCCCTAATACACACACACAACACTGAAAAAACTCACTGAAAAGAAAGAGAGCGATGATGATGAACTTACAGAGTTTCTAACAACCATAAAAGGGCTTGCATTGTAACGGCAAAGATCTAAACTAACCTCCATGCCAGAATTCCCACAACCAACTACTAAAACTCTTTCCTTTCTAAACTCACACCCACTCTTGTACTCACTTGTATGTCTAACAACCCCTTCAAACTTCTCAATTCCTTGAATCTCCGGCAGCACCGCCTCCGCATTCTCTCCGGTAGCCACCACCATCCACCGTGATTCATAAACAGTGTCTTGTGTATTGACCCTCCAAACACCAACTTGAGCGTCAAACTCAGCTTTACTCACCGATTGGTTGAACTTGGGCTTGATTTCAAAGTGCTTTGCATATGCCTCCATGTAGGAAACAAACTGTTTTTTCGTGGGGTATTTTGGAAAGTTCTTTGGGTACCCAAACAATGGAAGCTCACAGAATTGTTTAGGAAGATGAAGCTTTAAACGATCATAAGTTTTATGTTGCCATAAAGATGCAATGCAGTCACTTCTCTCAAGAACAAGAGAAGGGATGCCATCTTGCTTAAGGCAAGCTGCAACCGCTATACCAGAAGGGCCAGCACCCACAATGATTGGCCCATCAAATTTCACAAACGTTTGATCGTTTTCACAAGAACCCATCAAAGATTTATCAAGAAAGATGAAAACCCACAACAGAAATAAAGAACAAGAAGGATATTTCAATGAGAAACCAACAGAAACCCCTCCGTTATCCAAGAAATGCTCTGCTTCACTTCTCGTTTACTTCAAAGACTGTGAGTTTAAATGAGTTTAATGGGAGTTTAAATGAGTGAATGGAAATGTGCGTTGGGTGGGAGTAAGTTTTTCTGACGGTATTTAAATGTAGATAGAGAAAGAGGGTTTTATGAGAAGTGAGAGAAACGAGAGGTGTAAATATGGAGGCGTGAAGGTTAAGGAAAGGATTTGGTTCACTTTCTCAAGGTCTTTCTTCTGAGCTTTTCTGAGCAGAGAAAAGGGGAGGGGGTATGACGTGAAGTGTAGTGAAGGAGCAAAGTGATGAAGGAGGGAAAGCTATAAATACATTTATGTGGATGACTGTGTGTTTTATTGTGTGTAGTTGAATTGTATTTATAAGCCAATACCACCACCTCTCGCATTATACGTCGTCTGTACTTCACGCTCCCTGTCTTGCTAAGGCTATGAGGTCTAAGAGTAGGGTGCCAGAGGTCCAAAGTACTCTTGATTACCTCATCAAATCTTTTCATCTTCCAAATTGAAAGAAAATTTGTAAAGTTAAACTTAATGGTTTTTTTCAATCAATCATTTTGGTCATACACAAGTTTGGATACTTTTTTAAGGATATTTTTGAATGTTATTTTCATAAAAAAAAAAATCAAATATGTTAGAATAATCTTTTTCATATGGCTTATGGCTTTTAAGGATATTAAATTTTAATTTTAATTTTTTCGTTTTTATGAAAGGTCTTCATAGTTTCAAATTTTTAAGATTTTCATTTCTTTCTTTTCATCAAACCTTAGATTGATAACGTTTTGATTTTTGGATAAATTGAAGTGAAACATACATGTGTAGACCTAACAGGACATCCCTTCTCGTCGGTTTGAGGGCTAGGGGTTTAATGACGGGACATGCTGCTTTAAAAGTTGCTTAATGTAATGTAACAAAAAATGAGAACCGTACATGAAAAATCAATACGTGTTCATACTATTTTATTGATACTTTTTGTTTCCTCATATTGGATGCGGTGAAACTTTTTAATAGAGTATAACGGATCATGCATAACAATATTATATTCTCTAGATCTATGAATGTAGTGTTAAAAAAAATTGGCTTTATCATTCAAAAAAGTTTTACCATTCAAAAAGGCTTAGATGCGTAATTTGTTACCCTTTTACCTTCTCACATGTTGATATTAATCTAAATGTATTTTATTTAATATTTTTTCCTTTATTAAAAACTTTCTAAAAATTAAAAACAAAATAAATAACACGACACCCATCCCCACCCACCCTCTTGTGCATTGTAACATCCATATTCTTGGGTATGTTATATTTTTTATATATATTTTGATTTAATCGAAGGGGCTCGTTAAGTTGGTGGATTAACTCGTCGAGTAGGGGCACGATCAAGTGACGTGTTTAAATGAATGGACTCGACGAGTCGAGCATTGGACTCGTCGAGTCGGCGCTGTGGAGGAAAACCCTAATTGTCTGGGTTTGAGACCTATTTAAAGAGCCTTAGGGTCTTCAATTGCGACTATCCTTACCCTGGAGAAACCCTAAATCATCCTTGAGAGCTTAGAGAGTAAAGAAGAGCCATCTTGAGCATTTTGGTGTGTCATTTCTAAAGAGAATATGAGATTCTAGCAAGAGGGACCAGATAGGGTTGATGTACTGAGGTTATGAAGCCTGGAGCTTCACTTAAAGGTAACAAATCGGACCATTTCTCCTGTTTGATGTTGATTTCATGAATCTAGGGTTTCTTAACCATTCTCTTTAGAGGTTTATGGGATGTTTGAGGTCCCAATGTGGAATAAGCCTTAGATCTGGACCATAGGAGGTCCAGAGAGTCCCTTATGTTCAGCTTTATGCAGTCACATAGAGAGTTTAAGCCTAGGTTTCCATTTAGATGGCTATTTCTTCATTTATGGCTCTAATCATGATGCATGGACGTAAAGTTTGGACCTTTATGTGATTTGTGGGTGCTAGAAGGATTGATTTACAAGTTGGTGAAGCAGATCTGGCCTTAGAAGGTCAGATGAGTTTGGTCATGGAGGAGACTCGCCGAGTCCATAGGAGGAATCGACGAGTTGGATCGAGTTTACCCGAGTTTCGTGATTAGTGGAGACCCGACGAGTTGGGTGGGTGACTCAGTGAGTCGAGTGAGACCTTGTGAGGAATCTGATTACGCGTGTGGACTCGACGAGTCTGGTCAAAGTTGGACCGTTGACTTCCATTAACTCTTAGGATTTAGTCAACGAGTGGACTATTGGGCCAGGGGAGGGGTAGAATGGTATGTTACCCTTCTGGGAAGCATAGTACAAGACTTGTTTAGCCTTTGAGAGCCACTGCTGATTTAGAGTTATTTATTTATGTGATTAGGCGGCGGCTAGATCGGTATTTCGAGTTCGAGACATTTCGAGAATTACCCGAGGTGAGTTTTCTCACTATACGTTACCGTGAGTGGTAGTTATGTGTGACCGGAGGGTCTTATGTGCTTACATTGAGTATTATGTTATATGTGATATGCTATGCATCATGTCTTTGTGATTTATGCTATGCAGAGTTTATAGACCGGACCGGAGGGTCCAAGGATATAGGCCAGACCGGAGGGTCCAACGATACAGACCGGACCGGAGGGTCCAACGATACGGAACTGCAGGGTTCCGCTGAGAAACACCGCCCGGAGGGTCATGTTGTAGCCTTGAGTGGCGTATGTGTTGTATGTGGTATTTTGGGGAATTCACTAAGCTTCGTGCTTACCGTGTTATGTGTTATGTGTTTCAGGTTCTTCAGAATCGCGGGAAGGCGGCGGCTCGATTGTACACACATAAGAGAAAAGAGTGATGAATGCAGATCCTGGAATTTCATAATGTTCCAAAAACCTTGTTGATCATTTTTAAATAAAAAGTGTTTATATAGAATAATGTGCCTTTTTATGAAATAAAAATGAATAAAATCAATTTAAAATTTTTCGGTGTTACAAGTTGGTATCAGAGTCTTGGTTTGAGGGATTTGGGTACACCTTCGGGTATGTCCGGACTCAAACTGAGGATTGAGAAAAAGGTTTTCAAAAGAAATGGGTTTTCTAAAAATGAGTAAGAGAATTTATAAGAGAAATAGACAACAAGCAGTGTGTACAATCAGCCACTGCCCGAACGGTGATTTCCCTAAAATACCCTTACATTGTGTGTTATGAGTAATATGTGAAATGTTATATATGCTAGAGAGTAGGATAGGTATTTCATATTTTAGCGCTAGAGTGGCCTGAATTGTGATGCATTAGCCTAGGAGTTACTGTTATCTGTGAATTGCTTTTGTGTATGTACGGATTATGAGTATCCAGCAGGAATCCTATTTAGAGAAGGATTTGAGCAGAGGAGTAATCTACGAGAAATACCTAGATGAGCATTTGAGGAGCCTTCTGAGAAGGTAGTCAGATACCCGCGAGGGGTGGAGTTGCTTGAGCTCGGTGACGTATTTGATTACGAGTGTAGCAAGTGGAATTGTAACCTAGAGTGTTTATACGTGTTGATAAGGGACTATTCGATGCCCGAATGTTGCTTGCTTCGTGCTTTGTGGAATTCTCAGTGATGGGAGTCGGCTACTAAGTGAATATGACAATATTCAGGAGGTAGACGGCTGGCATCACTAGGAGTTCTTCAGCAGCTGATGGCAAGAAGGTGTGTGAACCTAGGAAGAGCCTGGGAAGTGATCTTTGTTAGATGAGTAGGCGAATAATGGAGAGTATTCGCAAGAAGAGCGGACAGTAGGGCGGAATTTGTAAGTGAGGAGGTTGAGCAGCTACTTAGAATATCTGGGATGATTTATGTGGAAAGTATGGGTAGATGTGGCAGGTAGTATGGGCCCGTACTACTGAAAGCAGAGGACCCATAGTTGATACATGGAAAGTTCGTGGGATTCTAAGTAGCAGATGAGAGGGATCGTATGGTTTGAATACCATGATCAGTAGCAAATGAGAGGGATTGTATGGTTGGAGTACCATGATCAGTAGCAAATGAGAGGGATCGTATGGTTTGAGTATCATGATCAGTGGAAGATGAGAGGGGATTGTATGGTTTGAGTACCATGATCAGTGGCAGATGAGAGGGGATTGTATGGTTTGAGTACCATGCTTGGAAACAGGTCGGGATGTGATGTCATGGTTCGAGTACCATGATTTGTAGCAGATTGAGAGAAGATAACATGGTTCGATAACCATGATTTATAGCAGGCAGAGAGATAGCAACTGATGGATTTTATTCATAAGAACATCCTATGTGCTCATACAAACCCTAATGCTTGGATCTAGGTTTATCTATTGTACATGCAATTTATCCAAGACTATAAACCCTAATTCTAGATCGATATTAACATAATAATAGGTTTAAGATATTACCTTGATTGTTATGTAGCAATAACAATCATAATTCCTTCTTGTAATGACTTTAGAAAGCTTATAGTCACAAATGTCACTCCTCTAATGGTTCACTAACACCAAGAGCAAGAGGATGAAAGGGAGAAGAGAAGGAGGTTACCCAAAAGTCGTCCAAAACCCTAGAAGGAAGCTTGTCCACGTTTTTAGGGCTTAACGGTACTATTTATACATGTAGGCTATTAGGGATTTAAACTAGGAAACCATAATCTGACTGCTTAAGCCCTAAGCAGCCCATGGATTCCTTTCCTTAAAGCCTTGGACGATTTCTAATGGGTTTCCCCATAGAATTCGTCCAACCTAATAATATAAGGCAATCCATAGCCCAATTGCAATTATCTTATAATTACAATTCCAATCCCTTAAGTTTAATTAATCTCTTTTAGTCACAAACTTAATTCTTATTAATTATTGACTAATATTAATTAAACAATATGATTTCTCCTTTAATATATTATTCCCATAATATATTAATAAATCATATTTAATCCTTTCTCTCCATAATTCATCCTATCAAGTTGCTTTGGTGAAGGCAACCCAAAAGGACCATGCACCATCGGGTCAAGTATATACCAAAATAGTTATGGACTTAGACACTAATCCAATAGGCTCCCACTTGGATAAGTCTAATAACTATTATGCGTACGACTTCAGATCATGATCTGCAATCGTAGCTTTCCGAAGCCGCTGTCAACTCTGATCCTATCAGATATGCGTGTCCTTTAGATAAGGGATCATATATTCCTCCATTCTAGATATCATATGATTTCAAATCATTCTTTATGTACTATTTCTTGATTTCCGATTGATGACGACTGACTAATTGAACAAATCAAATTAGCCCTAGCCCAACCGAGCATTTACGTTTG